TTTTTTTTTTTTTCCCTTTTGCTTATGGGTCATTTCTAGTTGCCTTTTGGAAAGTAGTTATTTTCTTATGAAAGGAGAAACAGATTAAAAGAACTACAGTTGTAAAGTTTCTGTCATCTTTTTAGAAACACATTCTAATAAAATAGTAACAAGTTGCTTGTATTGATCCTGGATTTAAATTTCTGGTTTTAATATATCTGTATATTCAGAAGCAGGCAGAATGTAATTCATTGGGATAATTTTCTATTTTAGAAAATATTTGAAACTTTTGAAGCAGAAGGATTTTCTGTAATAGAGACAAGTACTCTAACAGAAGAAGGTGTAATCCAAGTTAAAACAGAGGTAGGTCTCTCTTCTCTCACTTCCATTCCAAATGAACAGCTAACATTTTGTCTCATTTTTGTGAATTTAGTCTCGGTTAAACTGTGCATTATAGTGATAAAACTTCAAGCATGGTATCCTTAATAGCCTGTTGAGCCTCAGTGGACTTGGGTGCAAATGGAAAATTATGTTTAACACAAATCATAATTAAAAAAAATAGGTGAGTTTTCTCTGAGTCCTGTTATTTTCTCCTGTCAGCTCATTATTGGCTCATTATAAGAAAAAGGATCATATGCATCTTCCCATTATGCTTTTTATAAAAAGAAAGTAGTTTAATGCTTTCTTGTATGCTAGGGAATAAGAGATTAGACAGAAGATGAGATGTGAAGCTAGGTATTTGGGATTTAAAGGCTACTGTGTAATTTGTTGTATCAGGAAGGCTTCATTCCTTACCTAGTGTTATGTGCTCTTTCAGGCCTGTGACAGACTGTTGGCCCATCGTGTTGATACTAAAATGAAAGGAAATAAAGTGAATGAAGTTTTGAATAGATTACACTTGGCCATGCCAACCAAAAGAGATAACAAGGTAGGTTACATGTTTACACTTTTTGGGCTAACCCACCACAGTCTGTTTCCTCATACCTCTTAAGTAGGATGAGAATTCTGTCTTGTCCTAACATCTGCACAGATTAATATGGTGACATTTTGTTGTTTTTTATCTATAACTGCTGTTGCTGGTGGGAGAGTCATCTTGGGATTTTTGAGATTACTGTGCAATGGTGATTTATAGCATTATAAAAAAATTAATTCAAACCTTTTTTTTTTATTTTTTACTGGGGTGGATTGTTGCATTAATTTCAGGAGCGGCTGCCTTTTATACCTGAGGGAGCAGTAGCACGTAGGAAACGCATGGAAGTAGACACGCCCAAGAGGAAATTGGTAAGTGGCATCTCTTAATTAGGAAACCAGCAGATGGATTTTAAATTTGCTGTACTAGCGCATAGATTTAAAATAAGATAATATATAAAGCCATGTTTGTCTTTGCAGGAGAGAGATCTTGAACTTGAAATGGGAGATGATTACGTTTTGGATCTTCAGAGTACGTATTATATAAGAATCAGTATTATTATTAAGCAGTAAAGTTTGGCTGTTTCAATCATAAGGGAGAATACCTAAACCTGACTCCTTTAAACTAAGTACCGGTGCCACCATTTTATCACATACTACCCTTTACTTCTGTTCCAGAACTGGTGATCTTTGGTGACTGTGCCTTGTTTCGTAATGTCACTCAGTCTTTTCCCATTGTAGAGTCACAGACACGTAATGACTGGTCTGATGATTCAAGTGTTTTTCCCCCTTTCATTTTATGTGTTACCTCATTGATTCTCGATGTTCTCTTTGTTAAGAAAGTATCAATATGAGAGAGATTGCATGTGTTCTGTTTCAGCTGTGTATCTCCTGCTTGTTATGGCTTGACAGTAGATCTTGTAATTATATTATTCAATAGTAAGGAAGGAAGGGGATCACAAGTATTTGTGAGTATGTCAGAGGTGCTACCAAATTCTTGCCATGTAGGGTCATGACATTTTTTTTTAAATTGTGATCTGAGTGTTTTCTGTCATTGAACATTCTTTGAAATTACTTTTGTTTCTGTTTTAACATTTGTTATATTTTTCAGAATACTGGGACCTAATGAATTCATCCGAAAAATATGATAAAATACCAGAGATATGGGAAGGTCATAATATACTTGACTACATTGATCCAGATATAATGAGAGTGAGTTTTCTATTATTCTTTTTACACTTTTCTTGCCTCTTTATCCCTTTATTTGTTTAGTGTAGATGACTGTATTCTTAGATTTAAAACAGTATGTCATAAGTTATTTTACATTGTCTGCACTTGCCATGAGAAAAGATACTGTTTTCTGAATGATCGAGGACAGAATTTCAGAAGAATGGAAAATTGCTTTACCATGTCAGAATGATGGTGACCTTATCTTTTCCATCTTAAAATACTAGGTTTGCAGGAGTTCTATTTCTTCATTCTTTGACCACGGCCAGAAGGAATGCAGCTATCGAACTTTATGTATTATTAATAATATTAAATTCACCCATCAAATTTATGTCTACTGGCGCATGACGTTAAAGGAAATGTACTGAATTCTCAATTTATAAAATTTTTATTTAGTGATGAGCACTGTTCTTATTTTTTGCTGGTTGTTGAGAAGTAGTGAGTGCAGACTACATAACCTGTTGGTTATGCAGTTGGGTTCATCGGAATTGCTGGTGTTCCAGAGTCCTGCTACATGTAGACAGAGAAGGTTTTTTTCAGAGTGTGTTTCCAGAAACAGCATGGCTAGCCCAGTTCATGGTACAGTACATCTGCATTCGTGCCGGGGGCAGCCTGGGGGCAGTCACAGAAATACAGCCAAACTATAGTGCAATGGGATCGAGTAAGTCTGTATAGTAGTGTGCCCCATAGGTCCCCAGTAACCTATATCACCAGCTGCATTAAGTGTGGCTGGAGGGGTCATTATCAAGTAACGTAGTTCCTTCTTTGAAGGGTCTGCATGCTGTCATGGCCCTGGGCTATGCAAAAATTTAATGGTGAGGATTGTAAGTCAAGGATTTGATGAGCATCTTGATTTTCATTTAATCTCTCCAAAATCTAAGAAACTGGAAGAATTAGAGAAAGAGGAAGAGCTGAGAGAAGCTGCTGGAGAATATGACAGTGAACCAGAAAGTGAAGATGAAGAAATGATGGAAATCCGACAGCTGGCAAAACAGATCCGGGAAAAGAAGAAACTGAAAATCCTGCAGTCAAAGGAAAAAGATACTCGAGGTCCGAGGATGCCCAGAACAGCTAAAAAGGCAAGTATAGAACATATTCTGTAGTAAAGTCTTGCTGATGTATAATAACTTCATGAAAACATGCAGCAGTAATCAGGTAGAGGAACTGATCATTTTTTCTCGTGTTTGGCCTTCTCACTTGCTACTTGCTTCCTTCTGTGCTCCTAGGAGTTCTGGCCACGGCTTAGTTACGGAGGCCAAACCAAGTGGGTGATAGTAGCCCTTTTTGGTTTGTGTCACAGAAGCGAGTCTTGTGTAAAATTCCACATATATGGCATAAAAAGTTTTGAAGAATACAATTTGGCTTGTTTAATATTACAATAATGTAAAATTTGTTATGGGGCCCTCCTTATGCTAGAAAAGATTCTTTTTGGAAGCTTGATATCACACTTTGTCATGTCAGAATCTCTTATGACCCGTCCAGGATGACTGCATAGTAATAAACTGATAACTAGACATTTTGAGAAAGTGAATCTAGCTGATTTTGCACCCTGTATTTCTTACATTTCCTGAAGTGTGTGCCTTTTAGGAGAGAAAGAAACATTTCTGACTGAAATACCTCTCTTTGTCACCTTCCCGACAAAAAGGCAAACTATTTGTAAGATCTTTAGGGAATGCTGGGACATTGCAGTCCTGTGACGAAGGATTTATGGGTGAAGAGAATTAAGTTGCATTAAATGAAATATGAAGTTAGGACTTTCATCATCTGCTTGTGGGATGTGCCAAATACGTGGTGAATATAATGGGCTTATGGTGGTATATTAAGATAAAAAATAAAATAAAACCATATTGTTTTGAAAGAAACATGTTTTCTTAACTGTCTCTTTCCAGGTCCAGCGGAAGGTGCTAGAGAAAGAAATGACTGATCTTGGACTCGACATGACTAATAAAGATGATGTAAGTTTTTGCTAGTTAAACACAATATTCAAGGGAGATAATTTCATCACATGCTGAATTTCTCTGAGCACATTTGAAATGCGTATTACAGTTGGCACAAGAGAGAGGTGGGATCTATTAAGGAGAAAATAGGAGACCTGGATGAGGCAGTTGATACTGGAATATTTGAATGATGTGATCAAAACACGTTGGGTAGGCTGAAAAAATAAACAAGCATTTATCAGGAGTCATATATATGCACTGCTTTCAGTTAGAACTCTCTTGCAATTTGTGTAGGATTCAAGACTGGGTTTGGCTCAACATCCTTCCTAATTTTCAAGTCTGTTGGATGAGACGCTACTATGTCAGAAATGGCAATAATCATAGAACAGGCTTATCTTTTTACAGTTCATTAATTTTATGAATTGTAATTGAAGTTTTTGAGGGCAACTGGTGTCTTCAGATGTAAGGCAGCTAAAGTATTTCAAATGTGGATTTGCCTTCAGGGGACATTTCATCAGAAATTAAAAAAATCCATTTTGTACAGCAAATCCACCAGTATTATGGCTATCTAGATCCCAAGACTTTGAATTCTTTAAGTGAACAAGGAGTTAGGAAACAAGGAATGTCAACACTACACATCTGAAGTTCTCAGAGCTGACATGCCGTGTTGATTTAGAGGTGATCTCGGTGAGGAGGAATTTAATACTTATGATGTAGGATCTTTGTGTCTGAAATGCTTTAGGGCTTTGTCCTGCAAACAGGACACTAATCAGGGCAGGTTTCTTCATTGCTTTTTTGCTGTTGCAAAATTGCTTCAGTATTGCTATCCATTCGTCTGTGTCTTTTTATCCATTACTTGTGAGTCTAGTCAGAAAAAAAACAGAAAACTGGAGTTGTTAATTGTGAAAAGAATATGCTAATCACCATAATCTGAGTATTACTGTAGGACAGAAAGGCAGAGACCAACAGTTGACAAGGTCTTTATGTTACTATGGAATAATAAAAATAACATATTACAGCAGTCCACTTCCTGTTTTTTTGTATTAGTCTAATTAGAAATGGAGCATGTCCGAACTGATTGTTTCTGGTTTTAATAATTAAAGTGATGTTTTGAATTTCAGGCACATTATGTGAGAAGGTCCCGTAGTGCTACAAGGAAACGTAAACGTGATGAATCTGAAACCCCTAAGTCTGTGGCACGCAGTCGCAGCTCCTCTCGCACACCTCGGGATGTTTCTGGTCTTCGTGATGAAAAGGTTTGTTAAAGTTATTTACCTTTATAGCAGTTAAAACAGTGTGATTGTACGTAAACCAACTTCATACCAGTCTGGTTATGTTTGTCAAGAGTTCATTTTTCTTCTTTTTACAGCTTCATCTGCTGTTCGTTTGAACTCTTTATACTTCAAAAATGCCTAGTTCATTCTTACAAATAAGACAAAATAATACAGACTAAGAAAGTACATTTTAAATTTTTTTCTCTAAATGCAAGTATGAAGGAAGAGTTCTACAAACTGTGAAGTTCCACCTTTAGTAAGTTTAGTAAGAATTACAGGGACAACACGATCATATTGTTAGTGTACTGGGAAAATAAGAGTTTCGCTAGGAAGGATTAAAGTCACTTGCAGTGCTACTGGTCCAGAGTTGCAGATGGTGGCATATGTTGGGTGTTAGTGTTCTCATCATCTAGCTTTGTCGTTTTTTAAAAGGTAAAGCTGGTTACCTGTGTTACTGAGGAAGTTACTCTGCATGTTTGTTTGTTTTTAAATAGATGGTGAAGAAGGTCAAGACTATGGCAAAGAAAGCTCAAAAGAAAATGAATCGCCTGGGCAGGAAGGGAGAGGCGGACAGACACATATTTGACTTGAAGCCAAAACATCTGCTGGCTGGAAAGAGAAAATCTGGTAAAACACAGAGAAGATAAGCAGTCTTCTGAATTAAAATGAATTAAAACTAAGTTTATTAAAACTAATTTCTAGTCCTGTTTTCTTTTTTAGTCATATAGAGTGTTTAAAAAGTATGTGGTTTGTGTTAGTGGTTAAGATAGTTGAAGCTCCAAGAGGGAAAGTTCTCAGACTTTGATGATGCAGTTCTAAGTAATGCCATGAGAAATTTGTCAATACCAGTGGCAGAAACCAATTCTAAATTGACATAAAAAATAACACTTCATTCCATTTTCTTATTACTGACTGTCATGTAGCAGTAAAGCATTTAAAGTTCTATGTAAAAATAGATATAAAAGGAGGTTAAATCTAGAAATGTGATGAAGTGTTTGTTGATGAAGCTGCCATCAGAATTTAAAATGCAGCTTCACAAGGTACTGCATCAGTAAGGTTTGGTTTTCTGTGTGCAAGTTAATTCTTTGATGTATAGTAAGTGATGAGTTCATGTTGCAGGTAAAGGCTGAAACAAGTGGGGAAGTAACAGGAGACTGACAAGTACTGTACAAAGTTAGTATTCATGCAGCGAACTAGTTTTGAATGAATGGGAGAAATGCTGACAGTTTACTAAGCTCAGTGGTGACTGAAGCTGGAGGAATAATTGCAGTTTTAGTACTGACCTGCAGCCTGTGATAACCTGGGCATCTGCGATAACCTACACCAGCATGGGCAGGGAAGGTTAAACTTAAAACTTTTAATATTTCAGATTAATGTTAGTATTTCAGATACATAGAAAATGAGGATGAGACCGAAATTTTGTCCCGAGTTCACGTCGGGAAGTTATGCTGCTGTCATCCCTGGAGGGGTTCAAGGCCAGGCTGGATGAGGCTTTGAGCAACCTGGTCTAGTGGAGGGTGTCCCTGCCCATGGCAGGGGGGTTGGAACTCAGTGATCTTTAAGGTCCCTTCCAACACAAACCATTCTATGATCCTCTGATTAGGAAGAAAATTTCTCTTCAGAAGCTGATAAGACAAAAACATCTATATGTGTTCAAGACAAAATACATTGTCAAATGTGAAATGTTCCCTTTTTGTCCCTAGTTGGTCAAGAACAAGGTAGGAATTACCTAGAGGTTAGTAAAGTTATGCATTATAAAGGTGTTGCCTGAATGTTACACTTAAAATGCAGTTTTAAAGATTAAACTGGAATCCAATGGTATACACCTTAAACACAAAACCCCAAAAAATGTAAGGAGGAAGAATCTTTATTATTATTTTTTAAAAACTATTTTTAAATTCAAGAGGGTAAGAAGAGTGTTCAAGTATCAGCTTTAGCATATTGGAGCATTACGAGTTTCCCTTATCTACTTTGTATAACAAATTACACAAATTAAAAACATATTGTAATGCTGCAAAGAAGTTCAATGTCAAGAAAAAATTGGTCAAAACTTCTAAGGGATTGAAAAACTTCAGCAAAACTTTCCTTTCGGCTTCCATATACATGTTATTTCTACTTCAAGATATGCTTTGTCAGCTTTTGCTCCAAGCTGGCCATTTGAACTAGAAAAGTAGAACTTTGTTAAAATAAATTTACATCCTGCTACCCCCAATCATACTGCTTCAGTGACATTTAATAGGCATGTTGTTGTTTATAATGTAGCAACCTCAAAGATTATTTTCCATGTCGCTCAAAGTCTGGAAAGACAACAGTCCCAAGGTTTTAGATCAGGTATTTTAATCATAATCTTAAGATAATTTTTATTTTAAAAGTATTTTAAGTATTTGAAAAGTACTCTAATATATTACTTCAGTAATGTGGCTGACTGCACTGAATTCAGGACAGCTGTTCCACTGCATTACTGTTCCCTCACTCACTGTTATTTGCTTCAAGACAATACATCAATTAAGGTCACCATACAACAAACTTGGCTCTAAAACCTTTAAGTGTTCCACACCAGGGATGCTGGCACATAGACGCTTCAGTGCTGCAGTCACAATGGGGGTGAGAAGAGAATTCCAACCATTGCAAAAATTCTAGTTTTACCTTGAAACCAGACAGACTAGTTACAACCATGGTTTACATGCAAGAAGTGGTATGAAAAACATCCTTTTTTAACAAGACACCTCTGGGATAAGTTAAGAAATCTCAGTTGAGTAGTCTGCTAACAAAAGAAATCACAATTAAGCTTTAATTCAAATTAAGATACCCTTGATTATTATTTGTCTTCTTAAAAAAAGCCTTCCATTTGACTCTTTTTTCCTAGCAACTGACTGCAAGATCAAAAAGGATTAGCTCTTGCACTCTGGCAGAATTTCTGATTAACAAATTAAGAGTTGGTGTAAGCGCATAAACTGTCAGTCTTCAAAATTTGGAGTTCAAGGGGTCTGAGTTTTCCAGAACTTTGGAAAGACTATTACAGTAGATGTTGCAGGAAAATAAAAGCTTCTATCAAAGATGCCTTTGTTTTCCAGAAGACAAGAGAAGAGCCAGTAATGCATCTATGTCTCCAAAGACAGGCTATGTCCTGTACTGGATAGGTACCATTTACATTTGGTATAATTAACCTTTATTATTTATTGAGAGATGTCCAGTACGTGGTCATCAACCAGAAAAGGGTGGTGGGGAAAAAACCCAAACCAACCCCCCAATGTTTATTATCAAAAGCTATGACACATATTGCAGCACTTCAAAGTGAAACTCAGTCCACACCGGCAAAACATAAGGTTGCTTGTTTGGTTGGTTAATTCTAGAGTACAGTAGCTGAAGAGATTTTCTTTCTGCAATTAAAATCATCCTGATTACTCTGAATTAATTGTTTTTTTTCTTCAGGCAACTAGTCTTCTCCACATCAATGCAGATCTCACATTAATTTGTAATCACTATTTTAGAAGGTGTAGTCATGAGGCTGGGAAGGTACCAGCTCTACCGAATAAGCTGGCCAGGAGGCACCCAACCTCCCTTGCCCGTGTGTGTAGTTTTGCAAGGAAAAGCGAGCAAACTGGGCACACACAGGCTGGGGATCTTTCATATCACAGCAGGTAATGGAGAAAGATGAACCCAGGGAGGGGGGGGTTATTATGCTACCATTACCCATTTTACATGAGATCAAGCTTAACTCACCCAAGAGAAACAAAGCTGGGGGGAAGACGAGGTGAAGAGAGAAGAAAAAACATTGGCTATAACCATCTCTGTATGAAATTATTTGTTAAACATGCTCCAGGTGGACCAATTTTCTGCACTCAAGGGTCACGAGTTACCATAGTGTTTATGAGATACCACATCACTCCTAGCCTTCAGCATCTTTCACTCCAGCTATTTACATTCGGTGTATTTTTTCATGATCAACAAATTTGTTCAAGTTGGATAAGTTATCCCACCACTTAAAAAGAAAAGTCTCTGCAATTAGTTTAAACCATGGAGTAATCTTAACTTCATTCTTGGAGGCTTTGTCCAAGAGCTGCTTCAGTTCTTTCTGTGTCACGTAGCAGTAGCTTTGGATCTCGTTAGGGTCAGGGTTCAGCGTTACATCCTTCTGTACAAATAAGATATAGTCTATCTCGTGTTCACCCCAGATCCCATCAGACTTGGCCTTGTAGTGAATTCGTGTCAGATAGGTGATTTCTTCTGGAGTTACCTACAACAAAACACTTGTCAGAACCAGGGCCAAACCAGAACAATGGCACTGCTAGGCATTACAGTATCAGCTATTACCCTCTTAAAAGTTATTTTCCCCCCAAGTGTACAACTGCAATGTATTTCTTCACAAAGAGTTACTATGAAAATAAAATGTTATTGCACTTTGATGACATGAATAGCACAGCATTTCTCTAGTCAAACTCACCCTATAATATTTTGAATGGATTTCTTCTACACAGCAAGTTTTAAATAACATTTACTGGAGCTTAACACACACTTACTGCAGTGCTGATGAACACAAACACTTGCACCTACCTCTTACCTTCCAGCAAAAAGACTTGACAGCTACTTAAAGGCAAAGTCAGAACTGCGTACTGCCAGACCCCACGTGAACCTCATCTACTGGGGATCTGTGCAAGTTGCAGACCAGGCAATGAATTCTAGGGACAACCTAACCTACAACCAGTAGCACACTCCTTCTCCCCTGTCCCATGACACGAACATCATTAGTTACAAAACATGGAAAGAGATTTTGACCACAAAAATAATTCAGCCAGCTTAACCCTGCTCTCCGTGCACTCCCAAACTGCCACTGGAAAGGAAGGTACCAGAAGCGGTGTGACTGCTCTGGAAGAAACACGGAGCGCCCAGGCCACCCTCCTGCCCCTAGGAAACTCAGGATTGCAGAGGGCTTGTACGTGGACGCTGGCAGCAGCTCACAGCGATGTCCTCCAGCAGCGCCAGTCACGAGGATGACAGCCTGCACAGCTGGGACACACGCAGGCACCCATAGTTAGACCTGAAGCAACACAATCCTTCATTACCGTGTGATTTACTCTTTGGCTCATATTTAGTTTGAGCAGTGGAATATTCTAAAATACCATTTATTGATAGCAGCTTTTGAGACTCTGGAATACAGATGAAGAAGTCTTAAATTCACCAAGTTCTCTACATCTCCAAAGTTAAATTCATTTTTAGGTTTCAGGCTGACCCTGTCTGCCAGACGCAGCTAGTCTGTAAACTGGCAAACATTGGCAAGAATTCCTGTTTCTCCCTCCTTCCTTTACCTGCTCCATGGGAATTCCTAACTCTGCTTTCAGTCGTCTCTGTGCTGCTCTCCGAACACCAATGGCGTTATTTTCTTCCAGTTCTAGTGGATGGCTTAGAGGATGACTGCAACAAGTGTTGGTAAAACAATCTGCAAGAAATTTGCATCAGTACATTTTTGACATGTATAAAGCATTGGGGAAAAAAAATTTAAAAACCACCAAAATACCCCCAGAGATGTCAAACAGTCATTCAACACATCACAGCTTTGTTTCTCTTTTGTATGGAAGGGTCAGAGAGGAAGGAGGATACTTTCACCACTTTTCATTACATATTTTGCACCAGGATTTGCCTCTACCAAGTGCTGCTTTGCAGGTTAGTGTTTGATACACAT